CGAGTGACTAATGTTTATTGCTGATAAAAAAAATAAATATAAAAATTAGGAGATCGTTTGCGTCCGCAATTGATACCTATTGCAACTCAATGGACCTTTATGAAATTCCAACAACCGCGAATCTACCAGTCTCTCGCTCTTTCATCCCACGTTTTCGCTCCCACGCTCTCTGCCCGTCTCTCCCCCGCGCTATCCGCACCGTTTCACGTCGGTAAACAAATTATTCGACTAATTTCAGCCGATAACTGACAGTGATGCGCGTTAATATGGAAATATCGCGGCTCGTTGAATGGACCGAGCCCAGCGGTGTAGAGCCGGACGTACAATGCTCGTGTGAACACAACCCGGTTGACGAAGATGCGTTTAATGTGGGATAACAGTCGATGAAGTTATGGAAATGAGAAGGCTTTTCGCGCGATACAAAAAACCGGCCGTCGTATAAGAATGTAGAACGGCATGAAAACGGTATTCGTACAAAAGCGTTATCAGCACGGCTGCAAACTCATCAGCGCGACGTGAATATTTTAATAACATGTGTGCCGCAATTAATATTATCTGAATTATTTCATAGCGGTCTTTTAATCATTGCATTAATTAATACTACTGCCATATGCAATCTATGTAAATCAAACGAAGCCTCAATAATATTCCGCCGGGCAGCAAAGCGTTAAATAACCCGAATTATGATAGGGTGGGTATGAATATGAAATGCTTTACGAATTACAATTTTGGAAACGGTCTATTGTTTGCAAATTGAAGCGAGCGTAAGAACCATAATAAATGAATTGTGATTTATGAATTATCCAACGATCTTCGGAGATTGTATTCGCCGCCCGCGGCTATTCGTTTTCGTTCACGCGATTCCCGTGCAAGGTGAAAATAACATGCACACTCCGCTAAAACGAATTGTGAGTTCAAGGTGAGCAGTGACACGTAAAAAAGCGATCCGTTTTACCGGACGTTCTGCGGTCGGCAGTTTTCGTACGAGGTCATTCGTTCGAGCGGACACCACATTAAAATTTGCGATGTAACTTTTCTCCCTGTCGCTCGCGTGCGCGCGCGAATAAAACCGACCGCGCTCGACTCATAACTCGATTCACGCAAAAGGAAAAGATATTTTCTCGTTTTCGCATCGATGTCGCGGTGACTTTCCGCGGTCCCGCGTCGCTCTTGTAGTTCCGCGCGTCAACAACTTTCCCGACTGCCGCTGTTCGAAACAATTCGCGCGAGAAGTAGTTCCGAACTACATATACGATGAATTAAATAAAGAACCGAATTGCGAACAATTCAAGACCGCGAGTGGCGGACAAACTTAAACGAGGCGACAAATAAGTTCACTTTTCCACGATTTTTGCTCCATAACTATCCGGTGAACCAATTTACTGGCATAACGCAAATTGTCGGTGAAACAATTTCATTGGATACAGCACAAAGGGTTTGCCGCCGTGCGAAACAATACGAGGAATACCTACCCCGGTATCGGATTATTCGACGTTTTCATTAGCCATTGACATCCGCTACGTAAAATATCGATTCGCCCGTTCTACGAACTGCGCGGATTTCTCCGCTCCGTGCATTAATATTAATTTTCGAGCTTTTACATTTCCCCTCGCCATTCGGCACACTCGTAACGTAGATTAATTGAGAAAGCCTGTTACCGAGGAGCGAGACAGTGGTTATTAATGGCATAACAAAATATCGAGCGAGCGCGCCGCCGGGCCTTCGAAACCCGACAAATATAAGGCGCGAAAACTTTCTAGGCGCGCGAGCCTTAGACACGGCCGAGATTTATGGCCGCTCACTGCGGAAACATTGTTTTCAATGAGAAGCGGGGTGAGAGGGCGACGATTTTGCATTATCCGATTAATGGCGGGTTGAAGAAAGTGCGCGCGTCGCTTTCACGATGTTTACCGAATTACAGGGAATTAATCAGCATCAGCGCGATTAATTGCATCAGTATTCGGCCGGTGCGGCGTACGAAGATATTTCATTTCGATGAAAAGGGGCGCGAGTTTTTGTCCGATACCGAAAGAGAGAGAGAGCGCTTGAGTTTCCCATTCGCCCGAAGAAACCTGTCATTAACGTAACGAACGATTCTTGTTGTTCACCGCGGCGAAAGCGTTTATTTCCACGTGGCACTAAATCTAAGCTTGCTTTAGGAGAGAGCGGGGTGCGGTAACGACGGAACAGCTCGAAGAAACAATCCGACGTTTTCTTTTGCTCGTGCCCGAGTAAGCCGATGCTTCGAGCCACTAATCACAAAGGAATTACTCGTCGGAAAAAGCCCCCCCCCCCTCTCAGCCGCGGAAGATTGTAGCGCGCTACAACGGATATCCGATTCTTTCGATTCGCCGTGAAACGAGAGCACCTAACGTCGTTTAGGCGCGAAACGCACGCGCGGATCATCGATCGTCGCGAACGGATTATGAATTCAACAACTCGTCGTGATTTATTGATTTAAGAGCGTCGTAAAGCGGACTTGCCCGCTCGCGTAATAAAGCGTCTCGAAACGGTCGCGAGGAAGCAATTCTCGGAGTAGCTTCTCGGAACAAGTTAGGGGAATTGTCAAAGGCGATGGCTCGCCGGGACAAACGGAGACAGCGCGCGGGAGGTCAGTCGCGGCCGTCGCTTAAGTGCCTCGTATTTGGCCTCGTGCGAGACCACTTCGCTCCGAAGGGCCGCAATTCCTCGCTCGGAGAGGCAAGCACTATACGTTACATGCTCAGTTTACAACGGAAACGCGAAACGCAAGTCGCCGGCAGATTGTACGAGGCCGTCTGTATGCGCAGCGGACGTCTTCAGAACGAAACAATTCGCGCCCCCTGCGCCCTACCCTCCGTGACCTACGACCTATGCCTATTCTCCGCGGATCCTTGTGAATCGCGAGATATATCTCTGCTGATTGATTCGACCGACCGATTCCGCGCTATCGGCTGACATTATCGCACGCAAGCCACTGCGGAGCGATGTCTCGAGTGAGGGTATGCTTGATTCATGGACACGCGATATTGTTCTCGATCGTGTCGCCGCAATGCTCGCCGATGTTTCCGACCAGCGCTTAGTACCTCGGCCGAATGGATGTCGACCCAAATCGGAGAGCTAAATTACACCATGTGTCCACATCCGTGGGTACGGGAGATTTGTGGTTTGAAAAAGCGGGAAGGGGCGACGAAGGGTCTGAAAATCTGGGTCATTTCGAGGGAGAAGCGAAACGCAAAATTTACAAACAGTTTTAACGCATCTCAATGCTTTTGATCGAAAAATCATTGAATAGACGGACTTTTACTTTAACGAGTTGTCGGATTCTTATCGCACGACATATTTGCAACGACAGCCTCTCTATAACAAAAGAAAGTAAGAAATGAACTTGACACCTAATCTGGAAAAATTTATCTGTTGATCAAAGTACGCTTATTTTATCTTTCATTTTTCTGCGATTGAGAGAAGAACAAGTTTCGCGCAGTGTATCGTCAATAAATAATAAGTATCTCTTAAATACCCTTGCGATCTTTATTTTTCTCCGCCATTAATTTTCTTTTATCACTGACGCAGAACCGCGCAGAGTTAACGTCAGGTGAATAGAGCGCGCCTCGAAGAAAAGCGGTAATGTACAAGCAATACGGTAAATGACGTAAGCAACCGAACCGAGCAGCATCGGGGCGCCACGCTGACCGATAATTGCGTCTTTCGTTCTCCGCGTACCACGACGATCTCCCGCGCGACCTACCGCAACGATATATTTCGGAACGACGGTGCCACTTACACGAGCGCGCGCCCTCCGTCCCGTTCGGATTCCCGCGTCGACGTTCGCCGCTCGTCGAACGAGACGAACCACATCGGACCTCTTCGCTCCGCCGTGGCCCGTAAAAGCCTGTGGGAAAAAGCAGCGCGAAACCGCACCACCAACGTCTTGCGGCGAAACGCTGGAAACGTTACAAAGCGCGACAGAAAATAGTCAAGTTTTAACCTCATCAACGTCTAAGCATATATAAAATGTCGCTGCTCCCCCGCACTTTCCTCCATTTAGAGAGATACAAGTGTCACGAGCAAATTTAAAGGCGATTGTTTCTTAGGGAAAAATTAATTTGACACCAGCTTTTCCTCCCCGCAGCCTTTTAATATCCAACTTGAAATAGCCTTTTAGATTAAAATATTGTGCAGTTAAAATTAGCCGAATAATGCGATTCTATTTTGTAATATCTTTCTAACTTTTTTACCGCATGAAAGTTAATGTTAATTTTACGTGACGCAATTCATTTTACTATTATGAGAATTGGAGTTGTAGAATTAGTAAATTGCATTTTTTTTGCTTCAATAATATTATCCGCTACTTCGTATGGGCGTGTTGTTACATTGCTTATTTAGAGTGCATGTAAATTTTATATATTAATTACCAGCCCGAGCCTGTCGTAATATCGCTCCACTGCTAAAACATTTTATTCATTTTGCAAAGTGTACACATAACTACAGTAATGAAGTCGTATTCATATTCACCGTGGCAGTATTTACGGGCTCGGTAACAGAGAACAGAAACACAATGCAAAAACTACGTCGGTTCGACGGTTACAAAAACTCGATTACTCCACTATTTCGCGTTCTACGCCAAACGGATGAAAAAAAATGCAACAGTATGTTTGTTTCATCCTCTCGTTTCATCTAGATATCGGAGTAATTTTTTTTAATTATAAAAAGGCCGCGCGCCTCCGCGAGCGTCGAAATATACGCTACGCGCAAAATGCAAACGCCATTATATTTATTCTTACCGTTATAAGCCCAAAACTTGAGAGAGTGAGTGAGCACCTGGCACCTCTGTAAGCACCGTCAGGGAAGCGAAGGGTTAAAATTGGCGAAGAGCGGGAGAATCGAGATCGCGCGTGGCGCGGAGTGAACCGCCGGCGATACTCGCGGCGCGTACGTGGAGGCGCAGATCTAGTTCGCGGTGTCGCCACAGGTCACGGCGGCGCTGTACCGCCGGTGCGATCCTCAGTCCGTCACGGGGTCGCAAGGGATATGCACTGTTCTTGTCGATTGTCCGTACTCGGGCTCGTACGACGTGACGCGCGAAAAGCACACGCCGCGTGAGTGCACGCCGCACTTTGACAGTTCGCATCGGCAACGCCGCGGCACGAATTTATTTATTTTTTTTTCTTTTCACTGACGCGCGTTGCAAAAGTGTTTTGTGCTCGGTGAGATGACGGCAGCTTGTGAATCACGATAATCGGACGGCGATCAGGGTGACAGTGCGGGTGGCAGAAGAGAGGAAGGAGCACCGGTGAGCACTGCGGCACGAGAACGGAGTTTGCGTACGCTACGGTCACTAAACGTGAGTGTTTCTTCCAGAATCACTTGTGAAAGTTCTCCAATATTAACACTTTCCACTCTGATTTCATCTCCACAAATAGAAATATTAAATGCTTTTTTTATTAAAATTTTATACCAAGATAATTGTGCATCAAGCATTGATAATACACGCAGAAGATTGCTCTTAAGAATTGAGCTGTTTCCACTTCAATATAGGAAAGCAAAGCAGTTCGACATCACGTGAAAATATTATTTCACTCTGTCACAAATGTAAAGCTCGACATTATAAATTAATTAATAGAATCGGCCATTAACGTGCTTCAGTGGAAATAAATAGCGCAATAACATGCGAGAGATGCATCGATATTCTACAAGAAAATTAACAAGAGAATATCTAGCCAACCTTGCTATAAACACGCGATGTACCTCCTTATTTCCTTTCATAACTTTTCGGAATAATTGCATGTTCACAAGCAAGATCGTTGCGATAAGGCAGAAAGATTAAGAGAACCTACAATAAATTTTTCATAATAATTTATGTCTTGAGAGAAAAAGATATTCAAACAGTTATCCTTATTCTCTTCGGGATGTTTTCACAATTTTTCAAAGCAACATTTTTAGCTGTCTGAAATATACATACATCGCAATCAATAAAATTGAATGACAGTCTTAAAAAGGCAATGTTTCCTTCTCGTTAGCGACATTTTCCGTGACGTAAAAAGCGTAGAATCAAAAGGAGCAACGTCAAAGAGCTCAGCTGTCACCGTGACAGATCGGAGCGCGCGCTCGCGCGATCCTGAACGATCACCGGCCATTGTATACACGATGCAGTTTGCCTTCTATTATCGCTCGATGTTCGTCCATTCGCGCGGGATACGTGTCGGCTTTTCGACGTGCAGCAGTGCTCGCGATGTCACTAATGCGGTAACCGCGTCACGCGTCTCTTTCGATGGCAAACGCGCGGTTTCGTCGGTGCTTCGAGGCGCTTTGTGCCGACAATTTCTCGGCAATTGAGCAACTCCGCCGGCACGCAATTAATAATGCTGTCTCGCGAGATAGGGGCGGGATAAAGCGGAGCGCGCTTACGTTATCGAGCTCGGGGAGTTAAATGATCACGATAGTGACGATGCGGAAAGCGCATCCCGCTGCGTTATCCGCAATTTCGCCGTGCATTATACACGTACGACGAGTCACGCGTTTCCCGAGTGCGCGCCGACTGCACCGTGATTCATCGCGACGCGCTCCGATGTCATCGTTCCCGCGTCGTTTTTAATAGAGGTAAAAAGTTGGCGTAAAATTTCTATCTCGACGTCGCGCGAGTTACAAATCCGCGTTGAGATTTCGGAGGAACGCTTCGCGCAACGTTTGCCGGAAATCTATGACACAACCGCATGGGATCTACGCCACTGGTTGCTTCCGCGCGGTAACTAATTCTCGTCACGTAAGCCCGTGTGTATATGTATGTGTGTGGCACACGTCACATTCTGAAAAGGATGGGCTTCAGGACGACTCGTCCAGCTGATTACTTACGGACGCTCGATCGATTCGCGATATTCCGATCGGATTTATCGCGATGTTGGAGCTTCGACAATGCGCGCCGCAAAATTTCTCTGAGTTTTAACTCCGTGTAATTGTCAGTCATAACGTTTTCGCGATAAATTCGCTGCGTAAATAATTAACTTGGCGCAATCGGTGCGTTTGCCCGCACACACAGCTCATACGCGCTTCAAAATAGGTTCTCTTTGTAAGCGAACGCGAATTGTACGCTGGGCCGGACGTATATTTCGAAATTGTGTAAATAGCACGTACAGCTCGCTCTCGTATTCATATCGGGCGCGGCTACACCGCCGTTGAATAATTCTATCACTTTAATTACCGAAGTTTATAGCGCAAATCAGCGCGATGGGGAATAATTGAATCCCGCGGAAAGGCGGAACGCGCGTGTTCGCGCGCGTATTCGGGCTGCTCGCCCTCGCGCCCGGCGCGACTCGGCGCTTTTCTTCGATGATGTACGGGGTTAGGCGGATTGTTGTAAATATAGCACGTCGGACAGTGACTAAAGGCGAGAACATCAATCAGCACTCGCGAGCCATTGTGCTCCACGAGACTGATAATAAATAGCGCGTTCCGTTCTCGCCGGTTATAATTCCTCCTCCCGATCGCTCTCGTGTCTTGTCTCTCGTCGCTGCCTTTTTCTCATTCTCCCCCGCGCAACAATTGCGCGCGCGCGCGCGCTCTTTCTCTCTCTCTCTCTCTCTTTCCCCCTTTCTCTGATTGTCTGTATGTAGTCTGTACCGCGAACAGGTGTCTAACTACCGACTGCCGTTTCTACGACTATAGCCCTGCGAGCACGTTTATTGTAGCTTTATTGTACTTCTTGCTTCCTGCAGATCGCTCGAATCCGTACAATTACACATGAACTGCGACCGTAGGATGGTACCCACAACTCGCCTGTCTATCGATTAACCATTAGCGAAATTAATGGTACCCGTAGACAATAGAATAGCGCTATAAAGCTTAAGAAAGCGAATTAGATACGAGACACCCGTGCAGATTGCGCTAGTCGTGGCACGTGTTTATGTCAGTCTACGTGATCCGCTTTCAATGAAATAATAGTGAAAAAAAAATCGCTATCGCTATACCGTTTTAATTATATAACTTTCTAATCTTATTCCTCCTGACAGAGATCATTCGAGCTGTCGGCGATAAGTTCTCTCGATAATTTTCTTCCCGCTTCAATTATCGTAAAAGATATAGAATATTAAGTGAACATCGTAACTTGAGAAATTACATATTTCGAGAAATAGCATTTCCACAGTAGGATATACTCGGTGACCTGCCAGCCACTCATTTTATAATGGCCAGAATGTTAAACAAGCGAGATGACAGTGCTCACCGCTGGGAAAGCTACGCTTGACTATTTTATGCGCCGCGTTTCTCGAGAGTACGGCACTCTCTCGCATGCGCTAGTTCAGTTTCAAACTTTAATTAAAAAGGTGGAGTCGCAATAAGGTCCTTCCACCCTTTAGCCTAACCCTTATCCTTTCCCACCTCGCGAATCACCGCTATTCCGTCCGTCAAGACCCTTCGTGTGTCCAAGAAGCTATTTTAATTTCATTCACGAGAAACAAACAATGAAATTAACGTCGATGAGCGAGCATATACGTCCGTGTCTTTAATACACGGCCGAAGTGTACATTGCCGGTGCAGACTAGATCTGACGGTGCTTCATTTTCACGTGGATAAAAGATAAAGCAAATATGGATACAACCGCAATGAAAGTACAAGAATCTCAAACAGTTAAAAATCAGCGCGCTGACGCTACGTTTTTTATCTTGCGCGTCCCTTGATAAACGTTAATTGCCACGTTTTTAATTAAAAAAATGAAATATAAGCACCACCCAACTGTTCGCAGGAAATTTTCATCTAGTAAGTAATCATGCAATATCTACTTCGTTCTATGCTATTGCATTGAAAAGAGATGGCACTTATAATGCAATTTTGTAAAATATCAGGCTGGTAATATAATGCAGGAAATTACTTTAACCATCACCGGCTCACAGAAATTGGCTGAACGAAAATTCGGAAAATTCTACGCGAGTCTCTTCGGTTGAGAGAAAGTCGACCCACTCGAGTAAATGTTCAGCAAGCCGCGGAATTGAGGTGGTTGTTACCAAGGCGCGCCGATCTTTGATTAAGAATTCAAGCGGAATAAGTCGAGTCTTTGATAAAAGCCTGTCGAATTTTTGATAGTTCGGTGCTTTGCTTCACTTTTATTATAAATGCGGATTAATGTGTATTTTTAATAATGCACGTTATTATAGAATTGCAGATAAATAAAGAGAATTATAAATCCTCATATTAAAAAGCAGAAAGGCATTATTTACATAAAATATATATATATATAGAAGCTATACAAAATATGAAATTTAATTAAAATGGAAAATCATAGTTGTTATTTTAATATCAAAGTCATTTCGTTCTCAACAATTGCTTATGTATTAATATTTTGTGTAATTATGCAAGTATAATAAACCAATTCACTCACCGATTGTTGTATGCCAACTAAGTATGTTGGCCTCCAGTTCTACCTGAAAAGAAATTAATATATATTTTAATTATTATAAATTAACATATGTTTTATGTATTTTGATTATTACGTATTATTTAATTATTTCCATTTTAATTAAAATATAAGCATATGAAATAAATTGTGTGAATAATTATTTAAAAATTTTAATAAATATTTAATCAATATTTTCTGAATATCTTAATCAATATTTGATAAATACAAATTGTAATTATATACGTGTCATTACAAATATATACGTTTCTAAATAATTAACGAAATATTGTACTCATTAGCTAGCACAGCTTGCAGTTTGCTCCACCGACTGTAGACTCCGCCTTGAAACTATTCTGAATCAATGCTATCGAAGAATCAATGTGTACCGAAAATACGTATTTATTGTTACGTGCACTATCGAACGAAGGTTAACTCGGGCGCTTGATTTTCGGAAGAACAAGAAAATCACGAACGGAACTACATCGCGATTCTTCAATGCAGCTGATGCACAGCAATTCTAAGATGAAATCTGCAGTGGATGGAAGAAATTGCAATATTCTAGCTACACAAATGTTTGTTTATTATTTAAATATGTACATAATTGTAATAACACACACACACACACACACACACACACACACACACACACACAATTAAAATTGCATGCATATTTTTGATATATTTTAATAAACTATTTTGCAATTAACAGTTATCAATATCTAAGTAACACGCATACATATATATATCAGAGCGCTGTCAGAGCAATCATTGACGTCGTACAGTCGGAGAATAGCCGCGCAATGATTCACTTGCTCGGTAAAAACTCGAAGCAATTATTATATCTGTGCGAGAGAGACGCGTCTCGTGCGAGAGAAATTATAAGGTCGGCCGACAAGCGTGACGACCGGGTCATCACTGGCAATGCAATCGCAATTGCTCGCAGTGCACTGCAGCATTTCATGCCGGCGTCATAAATCGCATCGCGGCGTCATACCAAAAATTAATCTAATCTCGCGTCTAGGAAATATTTATCATATAATCAACCGATGGCCGGTCGTGAAGCGCCATTGCGTGTATCGCGCATCACCGTCGGAACGACTCATGCCACTCGTATAATGAATAATCGACTTGTTCCGCGTGCGATCGCACTCACGAGATTACGCTCTCATTTTCCGCTTGATATCATCGGTATCGCGTGCGATTAACGCATCAATTTCTACCGTCTGGAATCAGATGTTCCAGCAACTATCTTTATTTTGCACGTAGACGAGCTTTCGCAACACATCCCGCAGATTCTTTCCTTCCTTCATACACTCGCTGTTTACGTTTTATGTAAGTAAAAGATACGATCAGTTATAATAAAATATATACTGCAATTCCTGCACTTTTCTCATGATTACGGCATCACATATCTTAATCGTCCTTTTCACGTATATCCCGCGATACACACTTTGGTACAATATTCTCAATCCAATTTCCTGTAGAAAATTACGTCGGGCATAACGAGATCAGAGATAATTTCCCCATTCCATTCGCGCTTATGAACAATTTCAATTACACCGGTGTTTATATCTCCGCTTATGATAATATTTTAGTTTCCACAATTTTATTTCCCTGCAAAATTTACATATCGCTCGCTGTTCGCCGAAATTATGGACAGTATTAATTCTGCTAGACATTATGCGCAGAACCATAAACGATACCCGCGTGTCCATACAAACAGACGGAAAGACCAGTTAATCCGAATCCGCCGGGACCTATCCGTCGCGCGAGATTAGCTGCCCACGTTAGTGATTAGACGAAAGCCGTTGCTCCGGTTAGAGTGGCCCGTGAGTCCCGGCCGCCCGTATCCGCGAGCTACCTTCCGGATAATCTGACAAGCGCTCGCGCATTCGTTCGTCACGGTTTATCGCCGCTGATCTCGTCTCTCGGGGCTGCCTCAAGTTGTCGTTCAAGTTCGAAGGAGCGCGCAATGCAGCCCGCGCTCACGGCACGGCCAGTAAAGCGATTCGTTCCACCAATATAACGAAGCAGCTGAGCCTGGTAATGGTGCGGCGTTACGTATCTGAAAATCAGCGCCCTGCCATCGTCACTCTTCGCAGTCGCGTAGTATCGATTCGCTGACGAGAATCTCGGTGGAACAGTATTGTCGCAAATAAAACGCGAGAGACTCCTGACAGACGCTTTCCTATCGAATTTCCTTCGCTGTTCGACGCGCGCGCGAATTTCCATTCGATGCAATTTGCGAGCCACACATCGTCCCTGCGCAAACGAGAAATATATTTCACGCGACGATTAGCCGTCGCGACACTATGTTGGGATAACATTTATCAGATCGTATCCTTTTCCCGGGACATAAATCGCGAACCTAGTAGTGGAGAACACTACGTGTCCGCTTACGTTCGCGGCGTCGGCGTCCGCGCATTCAAACATAATGAGAACATTTCCTCGCCGCTAATACATTCGTGCGTGGTTAACATATTGCGAAAGCGCGTGCTCACGAGTATTGCGTCACTGTAGAAAGCGTTCGACGGAGTGAGCGCGAGACCCACGGCGACGACAAGTAGTCCTGTCCGAGACGACATCCTCCGCGCCATGCAGGACTTGTCTAGCCGTGTATACGTGGCGCGAGGAGTAGCCGTTTCGCGCTGCTGATATTTGTCTCAATTAATCTCGTGTGAAAATACGAGTTGCGTATCATCAAGAAATATGCGACAGCCTGTTATAGGATAACAACGCCGACGAAATAGCACGCGGGAAGTAATATTAATCACTGCAGACACTTTCTTTGCCTCACAAGCAATGAAACTATTTTTCTAAAGTTTCCTGAACTTTTCTTTAGGGAAAATACAATTTATACACCACGCTTTGTACACCTCCACTTGTGCCAGTGCACGGAAAAGAGCAATTTTCTCCAAAGTACGATAATTTCGTCCAACTCGGGCCCCTTTTGATAAAAATAATCTGTCGCTCACATGCTCGCGTATATACGGGCTACATCGTTGACGTAATTATCTACGATAGTTTTTCCCGCAGAACGCATTTTCCCACATAGTCGTCGACAAATCACACGACGATAAAATGCGCACGTATTTATCTTCATTAGCAGGCGACAGCACGGTCATAAACATAATCAGAAAGTTCGTTTAAAGCTCGCGTAATATATTTATAGCTAAAACGATAGCGTATTATGAATGTACAGAATGTATTATGAATGTATATTTCTACGGCGTCATCGCGAAAATGGTTGCAAATTTCCGGGATGCAATAAATTAGTTGAATTCACAATTTTCCTTACTAAATAGCAGAAATAGCATCTATTTCCTGCATCGTGCTGTTTTTAATTACATCTAAATATTTCATTATCATAGCTTTGAATAACTGAATTATTAAATATTTTTATGTTACATTTTGCACCGAGCGGTTTTTAAAGGAGACTGAAAAGCGTTATATAAGTTAGAAACTGTATCCTTATATTGAAAGTAATATCAAATTTCATCGGATACTTCCCGCAAACTATATTGGCGCAATGCATCACTGGAAGATTCTTCCACAAGTCTTGCCACAGACCACGCATCGATGAAAAATATGAATATTCATCTTCATTATTACGAAACAGTTCACACATAAAGTTAATCAGGAAGTTTACTCTAAGCACGCCTTACATATATCAGCGATAGATTATGAAAGTGCATATCCATCCTGCACCAAGGCTACATCGGAAGTCTGCGAGCGCAAACTTCCGAAGCGTGATAACTCAGCGTAATTGAATAGCGCATTGTAGCAAAGAAAAGTCTTTCGAACTCTTGCGTACTATAATAATTTAACTTACACGACATTCTTTATTCTACATATTATGCAAATAAAAACTAGGAAACTTATAACGAAAAAGTTAATAATTAATATGTAACTAACTATTTCTTTTAATTTATGATTATGAAAAATGAGTTATTAAATCACATTGTAACTAGAATACACGGCATACAGTTATGCATAGCAGTTAATAAAAATATTTGCATGAATAAAATGTAGAATTTATAAGAATATATTACTTGAAAATTTTTTAAAATATAACTATAAAGAAATAACTAGAAGAGAAATTATCGTCTTGTCATTGTTAGAATAATGTAGAAGCAAGTATGTAGATGCAATGCAGTAAACGCGTTTATCAGAGCTCCATTAGCTCATTTAAGCAACACGAGGAAGTCAGCGTGCCGGAAGTGCGATAAATTTCACCTGGCGCGTTACGAAAGCGCATTCCCCTGCAACCTGCATCGCCGTAGGAAGCGCTCGGTATACGCAACAGACGCAAACTTCCGAATGGCGGATAACCAACCGGACTCCCGACCCCCGGACAGCTTCTTCTGGGATCCGCGTGGGATCGTGCGCGATTGGCGCGAAGTGTTTAACGCATGTGTATACGTGTGCTCGCATGCATGAATCCGTGGCGTATCCGTGGGCAAACAGAAAGCGGTTCCCTGCAGGACCGGTCTACCGTTGGTCCACGCCGCTATCTGTCCACGGCAGCGCGGCGCAAACATTTGTTCAGGACGAGGGAGGAAAAGCGGCGGCGGCGGCGGCGGAGGCGCGAGTGGCGATGCGATATCGGTAATAAGATAACGACTGTCCGGCGAGCTGCACCCGGCCTCTTCTCCCGCTCTCCGTTTCTTGTTTCAGTTCCTGTTTCTCCCCCCCCTCCTCCCTCACCCCCGCCCCCGTGAACCTTCTCTTTGTCCTCTTCAGCCCCCGGTCTCGCTGTACTCTTTGTGCTCCTTTGTACTTGTTCTTCCTCCCTGCAACAACCTGGGCTTCTGCAAGAAGCACTCGCTCGTTCGAACTTCCTCTATCGAGGATCCTCGGAGCTTCGCCCCCGGCGCCGCGACCCGACCTTACAACACGCCGATGTTTCTATACCGGTTAGTTATTGGTTGAATTTTTGCCAAACAGCAACCACGGACCATTAGGTCAACGAAGTGCTCCTCCGTTCAATTAATAACTAGCGATCGAGCTCGTATTTTATCGAAC